TCCGCTTTTGAACGGGAGTCAACCAGTCGGAAAGCCGATAAAGCCAGTTCGCAGTGCGGATTTACCTCCTTTACCAAAAAATAATCAGCAGCCTCCAAAGATGTCCAACGGTAACTCAGCAGTCAAGAAGCTTGAGAAGCAGGTTAGGATTAGACCGTCTTTGGATCAGAATTCTGAAATACTTTACTGCAGGCATTTCCCGCTCCTGCTTCTGTTGCACAACGTCGGCATTCGGCCATGGTCGGTTCTACAGCAGAGCAGAATAATGGCCGTAAGTATTTATATTATTATAAATTTTTCCGGAAATTTTCTATCATGCATGTCCCGTCTTTCCGAGGAAAGAAATGGGTATGAGCCCAGTCACGCTATCCTTCGATCATAAATGATGAGCTTTCCTCGCACGCGTAGTATGGTGTATGGGCGGAGTCGGTGGACCCGCCCATTCCTATCCATTGGCTCTCTGGCCACATCAGCCATTCGGCTCATGCGGGCGACACCGCCAGCTCCGCCCATTAAGGAATCCTCTTCCAAAAAAAACTATACCAAAAGTGTTTATGACCAAGCAACAAATTGGCCTTAGGCAAGAGAAAAATAAAGTTAAGTTATCGCATGAAAATAAAATTAACGTACATTCTTGCAATCAGAACATTGTAATGCGAGCGAAAAAATTCTCAGCTACTTGAGATATTTTTAGTTCTTTTGAATTAATCCCATAAAAGTCGCGTGCACTGAATTAATGTGCTCCATTGACTGCAATGAATGGACATTCGTGAATACAGCACATTCTATATGTCTTCCCCTATAGGCTCTTCCTTCCCGAAATGCAAAATTTCACTTACCACTAGTCCTTTTTTCTCAGCTTTTCTTGTTGATAGCTATTTTCTAGGTTGGAAAGATTACTAGAGCGCATTTAGAAGCAGTTGATTAGCCTAGCCGAGATGCTCGTGTGTCGTAATGAGAATTTTCAAAAAAATCTCATAAACAGCTAAAATTGGGTTATTTCAGCTTCTCGTTTCCGCTCACTAAGTCCAATGCCATTCGGTGCCGGCGCAGCAAGAATAAGACATTCACTCTGTGAAGCAACATTTGGTGGTAAGCCAATTTTTTACTTTTTTCTACATTTTGACTTCTACATGATCGACGACTACTTCTCACTTCACACAAACCTAAAAAACAGCCCCGCATGGTTGCTAAACCCCAAAAGACATACGTGCTCTACAAAACACTCCGATGAATTTGTCCGAATGTTTCTGTATCGTTCAAAAACAATTTTTTT